CTAATTAGTATATAATATAATACTCGTCTATGTATGTATGTATATATATATATATATATATATATATAGTGAAAGATCTTTCATTTCACCATATCAAGAACCTCACTAGCCTTCTCGTCCAGTTAGTCTAACCACATGAACCCCTTCTTGCTTATCCACCCACCGTAAACGATTTCTAACGAATTTGAAATATGAATGAGATAAAAAAGGCTATCATTGGGACAAACGATACAATAACTTCTGTTAGAATTACTTCTAATTTCAACCAATTTCTAGTTAATGCATCCATAAGAACCCGACATTCCCCAGTATGGAGCCACCATCGTTTCGTCTGGCATTTACTCTCGGGACCTCTGAGTACGACAAAGTGAAAGTAGACAAGACTCACCTCCCTCACTTTGTCAATTACAATTGTCTTGTCTATTCTACTCGAAAGCGTGTAAATAAAAGGCTCTTTTTTCGAACTGTCTTGTTTTCAAGCCTCCACGACTGTTCGGGGTTCTTCATTTTTAGAATGCTTCAACTTTCCCACATGTTTTAGTTGCAAATTCATACTGTTTACTTTAAAGCAATAGAGGGTGCCTTCGCTTTGTATAGCATGTCCCTATGCCTCACTCGCTTCGGGAAGTAAGTCTTCGATGTAGCTCACAGAGTCCTATTCAACTCTTTCAAATCTATGAGTGAGATTTCAACTCTCTCAAATGTAGGGTTTTTTTTCAACTATCGGTTCCTTTCATTAGAGACGAATAAACCCCACTTAAGGTTTGTTACCCACCGGAATGGAGTTCATATACTCATATATGTACATAGTGAGATTACATTATGTCAAGTAGTTATGAATAAGCACAGATAATACCGTGATTTTGATATCTCCCAACATCGTAATTATTGATTTGACCTTGCTTTCAAAATCCATTTGTTGAATGACTCATTAAAATTATTATCACATGCGTGACTCTTGCAAATTGTATCAAAATAGGCCCTGCACTAGTGTTGTGGCGGGTAGCATAACACATCTTTAGGAGCTTGTTCAGACGTAGAACCTATGGTTTTTAATTGATCTTGAAATTCTTCTTCATATGTACTCCAAGAAAACCACCACAATAATTTTTTCATCTCTACACCTCTCCAAGTCTTGGCCCAATTGACTTCTATGTGCCTTACCATCTACGATGTGCTTTTGGAAGCAACTTACGTAGTTCAACTGTATACAAAAGAAAAATCATAAAGTGATAAAGAAATTAACAAATTATTACCTTTTGCATATCAGACATAAATGTGAATCATTTAGCTCTAATGAATTTCTCAATGAACAATTTCCTTGTTCTAGTTGTTTCTTTGTCCACCACTGCCCAAGCACGTGGATAGAAATGTTTTACTGAATCTTGTCCAAGGGCAAGCAACATTATTCCCTTACACTTTCCTTTTAAAAATGTTCCATCTAGCCCTATAAATGGCCTCAAACCAACTCTCCATCCACTTTTCAAAGCTTGAAAGCAAACATATATTCTTGAAAATCTTCTTTTTCCTTGTTCCAAAACATCTTTAGATATGTTTATCACTACATCAGAAACAAAATTGTTATTCTTCAATTCTTGAGCTTAAGCCTCCAATTTGTTGAAATCATCAATAAAACTACCCTCCAATTTCTTTAAAATAAGTCTTTTAACCCTTCTTCATTTATGAATAACTTATATTTAGGATAAGTGATCATCTACATCTTGTCTCACGTCTTTCACTTTGTACTTGGGGTTATTCTGAACCTTGTTCTTGAAATAGTATATTAAAGTTTGTCGAGTAGTTCTTCTATTCTTAAAGGCTTCCTGGCATGTATGTTTTGTTTCTAAGGTCTTAATTTCAAATTCTTGGCTTTCTTAATTTTTGATATTGGACACAAAAAAGGACAACCAATATCACACCTATATCTAAGTCTGGTAGAGTCACTCTTTACAATTCTAAGGCTCCTCTTCCTAACAATTGAATAATAAGTCACAATTTTTTTAGCTTCATCAAGATTCTCGAAGGTCATACCCTTTCCAACTCCAAAAAATTATGTAGTTTCTCAGTTACATTTCTTATTTTTCCCTCCTAAAAAATTCCAACTCATCACTATCATGATTACTAGCAAAATGTTCATTTTCACCCTTCTCTTCCTCACTTGATTCACATATTGTCACAAGACAGACTTCATTAAGTTGATTGATATTTTCATTAATTATTATATATACTGTAATAGGGAGAGATTCATTCCGTATTATTGCTTCTATTGTGATAGGGAAAGTTTCATTATGTTGATTGATGACAAGAGCTGGGACAATATATTCACCCTTCTCAACAACAAACCATTGAAGTTAAAGAACACTAGATTGAGTAGACAATGCAATCTGGAGTGTTTTAATTTCTGAATCGCCCTCTACATAATAATACTTATTAGAAGACCCCCACATAGTAGTTGTTTCACCTTGGTAAAACACAATTGTTCAGTGTATTCTGAACAAAGGTCTATTATATGATAGCAAATCTAGATCATACTCTTCCCGTATATGAGTCGATTTTGTAATGTAATTAACTTGAGGAGTTAGGACTCACTTGCCCCCATAGTTAAGGACCACATCAACCTTTTCAGTCATTCATGATATAAAACGTCTATCAGATTACATAGAGAATGCAACACCAAAAATAAATAAATTTATTTAAGTATGACATACCTAACATACAATAAATCACAAAAAACAGAGAAAAATATATGCTGGAAAAAATAGAAGTTTCAGTTTGGGACAACATTGTTAAAAAAAGGATAATGCACAGTACCTCCTAAACCTATGCCCGAAATCTCAAAGACACACTTATACTATACTAAGGTCCTATTACCCCCTGAACTTGTTTTGTTAAATAATTTTCTACCCCTTTTCGGCCTACGTGACACTTTCTTGTGGGCCAACGCTGGTTGACTTTTTTTTTCAAGTAGTGTCATGTAGGCCAAAAAGGAGTAGAAAATTACTCATAAAATAAGTTTAGAGGGGTAATAGGACTTTAGTATAATATAAGTGTGTCTTTGAAATTTAGGACATAGGTTGAGGGGGTAATTGTGCATTTTTTCTTTAAAAAAATCATAAATTGAGATAATAACGAATGTGTATCTTCTAAAAACAACTACAAGAAGCATATAACACACGCAACAACATAAAAATTTAAATATATATCAAATTACAACAACATTCGAAACGTAACTGAAAATACTAAAAATAGAGAAATTCCTACTTCAGTGGGTGAGGATATTAAACCGCAACTGCAAGAAGAGTAGAAACTTGTAATTGTTGGCAAGAAAGTTTGAGTTTTGGTGAGCTTTGATTGAGGAAGAAGAGAGGAGATTTGAAGATGATGAGCGTAAGTTTTTTTAGGTTAAAAGGTTTGGGGATGAATATTGGGTTAAAAGATCTGGGTAATATTGTGTTAAAAGATCTAGGTTTATGGGTAGGGCTTTTTGGTGTTTTTTTTAAATTAGTTTAATTAATTATTAGGATAGCTACACGTCATAAATGAATTTTCTAATTGAGGTTATTATTTAGGCTGTTATAGATGAGGGAAAATAGAGCCAAAAGGTTGACATCAAGGGCATTTTAGGCCCGAAAGGTAGAAGGAGTGTAGTTTTGTACCAATTCGCATAGTTGATGTGTGTTTTTGGCCCTTTTCCGTTTAACTTATAACTAACTCCATTGTTTCTCTTAACTTTACATAAGATATGACTTAATAAGACTTCTTCATCTTTATGTTCAATTCCACTGGAATTTCTGCATTTCATTATTCCTATTTGAAGAGTGCAGGTGCAGTGATGTTCTGAAGTTCTTCTAGAAGTTTTTTGGGTTTTCTTAGAGTGAGATATGGACCGCGGATTTGAAAAACGTGGGGAAGCATTCTTTAACTAATAATCCAGTCATCTTACTTCTCCAAGATGAAATTAGTCCCATTTATGCGACATGGTCAGCGAGACTTATTTAATGTCATCCCAGAGAGATACCCTTCTCGTAGCGAATAATAGGGGATGTTAACATGATCAAGCTTTTCATGATCTTTCCCCTACTTTTATCTGCTTCCTAGTTCAGCTATCCTTTCTCTTTTTCTTCTTTCCTTTGTCCAAGTTGTGCTTTGATTGGTAATTTACTGTTCAATTTGATGATTGATGGGACTGTGGAAGACTTCTAATGACCAAAGTTTTGGTGATGTTTAGTCATACTTGGAACTGTTACATCACACTGGCTTTGCACTCCTGGATTCATCAAAATTTGTTGACTTCCACAATGTTGGCAGCTCCTAATTATTATGTATTCCCTGATATAGGTTTTTGAGGAAGTTCAGAAGGAGACATCCTATAGACCGCAGCTCAAACTGTATGCTGAAATTGTGTCCTGTTTGGGAAGCAACGGATTACTTGAAGATATCAGCTGTCTTATCATGGCATTGAAAATGGAAAGTAGTTTAGAACCTCACATTGAAGGCTTTGTTGCATTGTTGGAAAGCTTAATGAAATTTAATCTTACGAGGCTCGCATTGGAGGTCTTTTACTTGATGAAGTTGAGAGGATGTGATCCCGATAAGTTGACCTTTAAACTATTGATAAATGGTTTGGAATCGAATGAAGAAACGAATCTTTCAGCTTTTGTAAGGCAGGAAGCAGAGAAGTATTATGGTCAGTCCCTAGATTTCTTAGATGAGACTGAAGAGGAGGTACCAAGATTAAAACCAATGTATTAAACTATTAGATCAGTGGTTAATATATGATGAACATGCTATTTGAATATTTCTTTCATCTACTTTTAGTATTTTGATTTTATTATGTTTCGTTTCTAGAGGTCAAGAGTTCGAGCAATGGAAACAATGTTACATCTCAAACTATTGATTAAGAGATCAAGGGAAAAACAAGACATGTTCCCTAATGACAAGTTAATATTAGACCAAAGTTAATAATAAGTTGTGTGTGAGAATCAACCATGAAAACTTGATCGATGTATTCACAATAAAAACACTCATGCTCATAGATAGAAGTTGTTTGTTGGGGAACTCACCCTCAATGCACTACTCAAGTTATCATAGTGTTCTGATCGAAGTAATGGATATTCTCTATATCATTTTTGTGAAATTTAAAAAAAATATACAATCCAACATATAATATTTCGTCACATAAATTCAATATACAATATAATACTTCGAGAAAAAAATGTTATACATAACGTATCAACCTTATATAAAAGCAAGTAATAGTATATAACAAATATTTATACACAAATATACACTAAACCAAATAACATACTCAAATATAGGCTACCTAGTGTAAACATTCATTTTACCTCGAAGGGTAGTCCAGTAATTTGAGTTTGGAATTTTCATGTTGAATGTCACAAGTTCGAAATTCTTGTCAAGCAAAAATAACGGATTTTCCTTTGGAGTCGAGCTCGTTACACCAAAGTTATATAGAGGGTAATTTGCGAGTTATTGCATAGAAACAGGATTTCATTTTTTGGGTAGTGGAGGGGTTACCAAAAAGGAAGAAAAAGAGGATAATCTCTAAACTCTCACTGTGTGTTATTTTAGCTTTCAACGTAAGCATAAAGGAGGAGTGACATACGGGATCACTGAGCCAGTTGAAACGCGCGGCGAGAGAAGGCGCAAAAAATGGAGAGCTCCGGCGAACTGGTGCCTTTCCCATTGCTGACAACACCGATTGAATCGAATTATCGAGCATGCACGATCCCTTACAGGTTCCCTTCCGACAATCCCAAGAAACCAACCCCCACCGAGCTTTCCTGGATCGACCTCTTTATGAATTCCATCCCTTCGTTTAGGTACTTATTTTTTCTGTTTGAATTAGATTTCTGCGTTTTGTACTGTGAGGATGAGAAGACACTATTTTGTTTTCCACCTCCGTTTGTAGATTCGAGAAATGATGTGTAGATCATACCTTTTGGATTTAATAGTCACCTTATTAAGCTAACTATTGCTCCAAATAGTTCGATATCTGATTTTACTGTACAATATAGGAAAAACAGTATCTGTGAGTGGTGCGGAGTTTTGATTGTTCTCCGGATTAACCCATCGAATTACTTGATTTTTGTTAATTAATGCAGGAAGAGGGCTGAGAGCGATGACAGTGTTCCAGATGCTCCTATTCGAGCTGAAAAGTTTGCTCAGAGGTATCCTTCTATACTATTGTGTGTTTTCATGTTGCCTCTCGTTTCAGGGATTAGGATAGTCAATTGAATAGAGAACAAGTTCATCTTTTTCATCCCGTTTGTTAGAGGAGGGAAGTGGTGGGTACAGTGTGCTGAAAGAAAGCTGTTTTTAGTCTATTCTTTGAATCTCTATTTATCCAACAACCCAACTTAAGTACAATGTGCTGAAAAGGGTGTGTGGAGCAGCTGGCGGACTTTATTCTCATGTAATTTCATTTTTTGCTCACGTGATTACATTTTCTTTCCTCTCTTTTTTTTGGTACGTTTCAAGTTTGGTACTTTATGTTACATAATGCAACTTCCAGTTAATGTAGTGTTATCAAAGGCAAAAAGCACATAGAAATACCAAGCAAAAGTTTTTGTGATTACGGGCGTACGTAGAAAAATTAAAACAAATGTAATGCGTGGACGACTAACTATAAACACAAGTGAAATTATATAGACAAAGGAACTGACAAAAAAGAACGATTGTTTAAAACGTCAACCAAGTGAAAAAATTACTTAAAGTTTCTGATTGATATGCAAAGATGCATTTGAAGTTTCTAATATAAGTTCCCAGACTAATTTCCGTGTAATAAATCCATAGTTTCCTACTTTTAGGTACTAACATCTCATTCAATTTCATTAATTACTGATTAACTAACTATATCTACTGTTTATAGTTTTAGCGGACTCTTCACTCTTGATGTTGCCCCCGTGTTGGATTCTCCAAACATACACTACTTTTGCCGAATCTGACACGCACCTGTTGACATTTTTGAAGAGTCCGAGCAACATAGCAGACATTCACCCTGGCAGCGTAATGAGCCACATGCTTCAGCAATTTGATGCATATACTAAAGAGTGCCACCCAAATGAAGCTAAGTGCCATCTTGTGTTGTACCTAACCATAGGGTGTTAGAGCCCCTCAAGCCCGCCTTCCGCACCACTAACAAAGGAAATGAGAAGCAAGGAAGAGGAAGAGGACAGATGAGAGGGAGAAAATTGGGAAAATGTTAATTATGGATGTCTTATTCTTATGAAATAAGAGCAGAATGAATAACCTGGATAAAAGAAAAACAATCAAGGTGGGGCTTGTTAAGTGGGAGGATATAACAGGACCAATGTCAACCATTTGAAGTGTGCAAATGAAAGGTGTGCAATTTACTGTAGCCATGGGAAGCGTGGGAGGGATTTTTCACTCGATTGTACGTTCTTTAGAGTACCATATGATTCACAAGTTAGCCATTGGAGATTGGGTGTTATAAGTAGAGAATCATTTGTACAAGATTCTCTATTAGTCCAAGTATTATATACGAGATTAGCCTTTTCAATCAACAATATAACTCAATCTCAAACTAGTTGGGGTTGGTTAAATGAATCTTCTTAATTTACTATGCATTACTTGGACCTGTTCTTTTTCATCTTCTTCCAATCAATAAAATAGCTTATTTCATCAATACTTATCCAAAAAAAAAGATATTTACTTAAAAAAAGAAAAAGATTATTGTGCAAGTTACTTAGTTACTTCTAATTGTAAGTGGTTTTGACTTGTCATCAAAATGATGAAGAATAAACCATACCTTGAGCAAGTGTCAGTTACTTCAGAAGGTTTGAGGTTTATATTTACAAATTGAAAATTGATGATAGTTTCCAACTTTTACATGTACTTATTTTGGTGGATAGATATTCTGCAATACTTGAGGATATGAAGAAAGATCCTGAAAGTCATGGAGGGCCTCCTGATTGCATTGTAAGTTGAACCATATTAAGCTATCAATTGTTGACTCTTTATGTTTCCTGATAACTTCTTGTTGTTGCTCAAAAGCTAAAGCGCTTTCTCCTTTGTTTTCTTTTAGCTTCTTTGTCGCCTTAGAGAGCAAGTGCTTAGGGAAGTGGGGTTCAGAGATATATTTAAAAAGGTCAAGGTTAGTATCGTTTCTCCAATATTAGATTCCTCAAGTTGGCTCTCCTGTTAGCAAGTGGTGAAAGAAATATAATAATTGAGGGAAAGGTATTACCATAATTTTTTTTTTAAAAAAGATAGGCATTGCATCTGCTGTGCAGACATGCTTCTGGATGTCTGCTTGTGGATATTGACATACTTTACAAAATAAACAGTTCCACTTCTTTAAAGATCATCAATTGTTTTGTGCTCCTTATCCTGCAACATTAGAAATTAGTATCAGATTTTAACTTTGAAACATTGTTGGGTGTATTAAAATGTGCTAGGATGAAGAAAATGCAAAGGCTATATCCTTATTTAAGGATGTAGTATCTCTTAATGATGCTATTGAGGATGAAGCCAAGCGTGTAGAAAATTTGGTCAGAGGAATTTTTGCAGGAAATATATTTGATCTTGGCTCTGCAAAGGTAAACCATGCTTTTTGATCCATGACTTCTTCATAATCACTGCATGAAGTCCATTAATATTCTGAACCATTATATTCATTTGGATTGTGTATTACCCTGGGAGTAAGTCAAGTTATGGCAACTAAACACTTCCAATCAACTGCTTTGGTTTATCATATAGTTTGACAATATAAATCCAATACTATGCCCAAATTATCTAGAAATTCCAATGGAATTTTTTTTACTAAGTTATAAATTTTATCAATGTTTGGGCAAAATAAAAAAGCATGCAAATATGCCTAAAGTACAGACATCCACAGAAATAGATGGTTTTCAATTCTAGTGGAAGGTTAAGTTGCTCAAGTTCATATTTCCTCAGTTGGTTCCTTGAGTTATTTATTTCCCTTTTCTTGCCACCTTTGGAACTTGAATAGAAGTGCATTCCGTACAACCACCACTCTAGATGACAGATTTCAGCTACTTTATTCAATTTATTGACAATACTCATGATCTACTTCAAATGCTGCAACCTCGCTTACTATTTACTGCAATATGATCTTGCTCAAGGGTTTCTTACGCCAAAAAGTCAGCAGCTCAGCACCCAAAACTGATCTTATTTAGAGGGGGACCTTCTTATTCACAGGATTACGACAAGATTGGTATCTGCAACGACACTCTTTTAACCTTCTTTGGGATTTATTGCATGAGTTTTGAGTGACAGACAAACAAAAAGTCGTATTGCCTGGTCTTACTCCCAGGATCCGAAAATTATTGTCTGCCTCATGATTCCTGACTTCTTGTGCTTAAGACTAATAGTTACAAAAATCACATTTTGCACTGTCTCTCCAGTTTTTAGGACTCTACAATCTCCCAGGACTATTATCAGGTGTATTTCCCATCTTTAAAACTTAATGAAAGATGCAAATTAACTGGGAATTAGCAGAGAAGTCTTTAGAGTGCTTAGGCCCTTAGTCATTGGTAGTAATACAATGAGGCTCAAAATTACCAGTACATCAGCCAGTTCAGATGGTTTAGATTCATGATTTGGAATGTTTGCTCTGAGAAACTTATTGCAGAACACCTATGTCTTAAGTTAAACTGTTCATTTGTCTAAAGCTACTCATGTCAAACGGGTGTTACATGATATAGATTCCCACTAAAGATCTTTACAGATACATAAAACCTGCTAGAAATCAAACATGCCTATATACGAATTCCTGTTTGACATGCACACCTGAGTCTGCCTGACATATCACAACATGCACATTTCAATAGGGAGAGCTCCGTAAATTGCATAAAAGATGATATCTCAGAGCATCTTGTTGGAACCTGTTCAGACTCTAACTAGCTGAAACCTTCCAGAGTTTATTTGATATCTTAATCTTGTGCCCTGCACAGCCAGCAATTATAAAGTTATTCAAAGTTTTTAAGATCATGTAATTAATGTCTACTTTCTTCAACCTCTCTTGAAGCTTGCAGAGCTGTTTTCAGAGGATGGTATATCCTTTCTAGCTAGTTTCCAAAACCTTGTCCCTCGACCCTGGGTTATAGATGATTTGGACGTATTTATTACAAAATGGAGCAAAAAAACATGGAAAAAGGTGACTATTTTATCATATTTTGTTATCATGTGGCTTCCGAGTTTTATGATTTTCTTTGAGAAGTACCCAGTACATTTGATATCTGTTCCTTCACTGACATCCTTACTCTTATACAGGCTGTAATCTTTGTTGATAATTCTGGTGCAGATGTTATTTTGGGTATTTTGCCGTTTGCTAGAGAATTACTTCGTCATGGAGCACAGGTATGTTTTGGAGTCCCTGCTCCTTTTATGCACAGATTGTGGAAGTGTTTGTGTTTAGTAAACTAAATTCAAATTGTTTGTCACCAATAACTGGACTGTTCTTTGATTTCATTGTATTGAATGAAATGCCATTATGTGTTTTTTGATATGCTTGGTTTATGGGTTTTTACTTGTACACACGAAATCAATAAGTAGTATACATCACTGTGAGAGGATTTTGACTGCCTCTTCTGAGAATTGAACTTTATTCTCAGTTACTGCTCTTTTGGCTCTTTTGCCGACATGAGGATGTTAATGAAAATGGTTTATTTCCAGTAAAACTTTACACTCGAGTGGGGATTTTGTGTTGCTTTAATGGCTAAACAATAGTTGCAGCACTTTTGGTATGGTAAATATCATCATTCTTGTCGTGTTTCTATTTCATGAATCCCCTGAAGCAAATAAAGTGTAGGACCTCAATACCCCTAGTTTAATAGGTATGAAGCTCTAGCAAATAAGTTACATTTTCGTATATGTCAGCATGATGATAGTATGAATTGCATCAAATTGGCTGCCACATTGATTAGCTGATATTCGAAAGCTATTTTTAGCTCTTATCAGTAGTATATGAAAGCATTTCTGGTAACACTTTGTTTTTCCTGTTTCCATATCTCATTTAACTACTGCTTTCTTTGGCCAGGTTGTTTTAGCTGCTAATGACTTACCTTCTATCAATGATGTTACTTACCCCGAGTTAGTAGAGATTATTTCTAAGGTAATAGATGTCTTATGTTTCAACTTGTGGGGCTCTCAGCTTTTGTTTGGTATTAACATGTTTTGGTTATAACAGTTGAAAGATGAGCATGGGAAGCTCATAGGTGTTGACACATCCAATCTTTTAGTTGCCAATTCTGGTAATGATTTGCCGGTAAGTGGCAGTTGTTTTTAGCTTCATTTGCATACTGCAGAGCTTCCTCCCGCACCCTCCAAGAAGATAATGGGAAACTTATTTTCTAGATTTAGGTTCCCTCATGGCTTACAATCAATCTCCTAATTTCATGCCTCTATTGCTTATCCCGTAATTGTACATTTCGTCTTAGCTTATTGAGAATTCCTACTTTAAAGCAAGCGAGAATTCTTCAGGGCTAACTATTTTGGTTCTCACCCAACCTAAGTTTAGTATGCACCTACCCTTGAGCTTACTCTCCAGCTTGGCTTGGCTGGGCTGGGGTATTAGGCATGTGATAAGTTGCATGAATGTCAGGTTGAGTGGTTGACGAGGCAATTTCGGACTAGTCCAGATGTCAGGTTTATTTACTGAATGCATTTATGCATGTTGTTGCAGGTTATTGATCTTACAACGGTATCTCAGGAGCTGGCATACTTGGCAAGTGATGCTGACCTCGTCATTGTAGAAGGCATGGTAAGGCTTTTGCAGTTATTAATTGAAACTGTTATCTCCTCTGTGGCATGACATGTTAAAATTTAGTGATTATTTCGTGTTGTTGACCTCTAAAAAGCTTTATTACAAGGGCTATTCGTCTGCTTGCGTCTTGTACTTTGCTCCTACTCAGACTCTTTAAAAATGCTGTCGGCTGTATGTCGGATCCACCAAAATTAGCGCAGTTTTTGGTGGATCTGACATGAGTTCAGCAACTTTTTTTTAGAGTCCGAACAACATAACTTTGCTCGGTGACTTGGTTCATATGTACCTTGTATTATGGGTTTTACATTTTGTTTTCTTCTTTATAGTTGTGCTTAAATGGGAGATGATTTATATAAATGAAATGTATCAATTGATTAAATATGAGGACAATAAGGTAAGATGTGGAAAGAATATGGCAAAAGTCAGCTTCACAATTAATTTGGTGCTGCCTCTTTGAATGTGAATAGCTATGTCTCTTTTTTTCTGATAAGTGTGAATAGCTATGTTGTTGGGGCAGTGTTGCATTAGAAGTTTAGGGATATTAATGATGCCAATGTGGGTGTAAAGCAAGATTTAGGAAGACTCTAATCGGCAAAGCTCAAACTCCTCAATGAAGTTGGTTGCAAGCTGCCTACAGGACATGAACAGCTAGAGTTTTCCTTTACTTTTACAAGTTAGAAGAGCTATTTTCTTAGGGGACAGAGTTACGTTAAAAGATTAGGGATGGGAATGATTCCATGTGGGTGGGGACCTGTCTGCAACCCCTCACCTAGCCTGCAAGTCTCCTGCTCTAATTGCCAATTGCCATTTCACACTTCTCTCTCCTGTATTGTTGTGACAGGACGAAGGGTATGGATCATCGTGGCTTCTCATAACTTTTACTACTAAGCACTTCTCCACTTTTTAGGAACTATATTTTTCTCTTGAAGTTATATAAACTGATCAAAGCCTCTTATTTTAGATTTTCCACCAATTACCTGCTCCTGCTACCTCGTATTGGAACTTCCCGATTTGTGATTTTGCTTTAAAAAATATGAGCATCTGAATATTCGACATCATACTGTAATAAATTGTTTTGAAGTTTTTAAATTTACAAATCTCCTGCCTGCTCATGTTTCTTAAAAAGAGAGGAGAGAAAATGTAAGTGAGTTGCATAACTTCTACAGATTATTATTCATAAAGTCAAAGTGTCACCAATCAAAAGCCTATTTGTAGATCAGGAAATCCTAAACAAGCTATAGTCTTGAGAACAATTAAACACTTTATTCCTGATAAAAATATAAGGATTGAATCTAATCTTAAAGGGTTATGATTTAAACAAAAAAAATCCTATGCAGAAAAATAATTATATCTTCATGGAGCGCGTCACTCACCATATTTTAAATTTCCAATCTCTCTCAACTTTTAGCTTCTCTTTGAATTCATTGCAGGGCCGCGGAATAGAGACAAACTTGTATGCTCGATTCAAATGTGATTCCCTCAAGATTGGAATGGTAATATACCTTCATGCTTTCATTTAGAACCATATAAGCGATCCCCAAAGGAAGTCGAAAAGAAAGTTACTTTTTTTGACCTTTTTAAAAAAATTTTTTTTTTGTTCCTTAAACACAGGTAAAGCATCCGGAAGTTGCTCAGTTTCTTGGAGGAAGGCTTTATGATTGCGTCTTCAAATTTAACGAAGCTTCAAGTTAAATAGTTTAGGTATCAACTATATCAAGTTCTTTCTGGAAGTTTAGACAAACCCAACAAATTGAAGATATTGGTAAATCATTATATTGGATATTATTTGCAACTTTTTTTGAAAGTTGGATTGCAAATGAAGCATCTGTGTTAATGCTTCCTTGTGCTTAGGTGCATCTGCAGTAGTGTAACCTTGCAGGTATATCACATTGCAGCTTGATCTTACCTCTTTCCAGCAGTAAATGCCTCTTTTTTCTCCTGTATTTTTCGGAATCATTTGTAATAAAGATATTGGCTAGCTACGATTGAAAGAGGTTTTATCAATAGAATTCTCATCTATTCGTGATCTATGTACTGGATATTGAACATATACAGATGCAAGGCATACCGCTAAGGATGTGACGGGGTAGATGGACTCTTCCACGCTTAACCAAAGGTCTTGTGTGATCGACACTCTTATTTTGCCCATATTAATTTGCGAGGCAAATGAGAATAGTTCATAATGTATAGAGGAATATATGATTGTGGTAAATTAGTTGTTAATAAATCATAATTTCCATAGCAAGGATGTCTTCACTGAGCACATTAATCTTCTTTGCTTTTCAAAAGTATATTCCTTCTAATAGAGCATTATGCGTTGTTATATTGTACCTCTATTAACAAATTACCATTAAAAATTAGAGAACTCCCAATTTGTAGGTCGAAAGTAGCAAGATTTTCGTGACATAAAGAGCTAGGGTGTGGTAAAAATGGAAAATATTCTTTCTCCTTAAATTATATGTTTTTTGGGACCATAATGAATTACGGTGATTCTGATATTCAAAAGTCTCGAGTTTATACTAATGAGAGAGAAGAAAATTTTATTGGCCGTGTTAAATATATCTGCGAACTATTAGTTGAACTGGAAATCCTAATGTGGTTCGAAAGACAGAGAGTTGATGTGGGAGGCTTTTCAATTGTGCATGAAATATAGATAATCTCTGTCATACTCCGTTCAAAAACTAGAGCATATATGTCCGAAGACTGAGTAGGAACGAACATGTGTGACAATCTTATTCGTTGTCGATTCGATATTTAATAAATATTGGATCGGTGAATAAGATCATGATATGTTCTTTAGTATAAATGATATATATATATATATACTTTAGTTTTTGAACAGCGTACAGCGGTATATATTTGTCCTTTCCCTTTCTAAAAACGAGTCTTACAAAAGTTAGACAAAATATTTGGTAAAATGGAAAAAAGAAAAGAGATAAGAAAACTAATGTTAGGCTAAAACTGTTTGCACGGCTCCTCACTGTATCATCAATGGCTGCTCTGTCTGCTTCTGCCCATGTGAGAATTCGCACCTTCTTCCATTCATCTTTCACTAACAATAAAATATCAAACTTCTCCCAACAATTCAAACTTGAAAATTATACCACTATTACTACTATTACTACTTCGAAGAGAAGCATCTCCATACCCGCCTTGGCACCAAAGACAACGGAGAACTCAGCTTCCCAACTCCAATCAACTTCAGATTCCGTTAAAGGTAAGCACAAAAATACACCATCAATATCAGAAATCAAAAAATTTGGGTTTCGTCCCCAGAAATTTACCGAAAAAGAGTTATAGATTGAGACTTAATTACCAAACATAACAATAGTTTGGATAATTACCAGATTTAGCAACAGGGGTTGTATCATTGATATTGCAATAGATACATACAAAACAATTGTGGTATAGAGGGAGTGAATTTCAGAAACTGTTGTAATAGTGATGCAGGGCGAATTTTATAAACTTTGCTAGATACTTCTCTTATAGTTTTTTAATATATAATTTTTTTCACATTCACTTTGAAAATTAATTAAATTAACGTTTGAAAAGCAACAAAATTGGACAGAGGGATAGAAATTTAGCTTATCAAACAAAAAGAATGTCTTAGTGAAAGATATTTTGTAAGTTTTTTCATGAGTTAATTTGAGTTACATATTTGTTCAATTTTTAAATGGCTGGTAAAATATAATTTTCATGTGCTAATTTTGAGTAAATTTTCCTTCTTTTTTGCTTTTATAGACTCTGAAAATATCAATTTGAAAGGATGGGCTGAGTTTGCAAAAAATGTGTCTGGCGAATGGGATGGGTTTGGAGCAGATTTTAGCAAGCAAGGTGAGCCGATTGAATTACCGGAATCTGTAGTCCCTGGAGCTTACAGGGAGTGGGAGGTGAAGGTATTCGATTGGCAAACTCAATGTCCTACTCTTGCTCGTGATGATGATGCCTTCTCTTTCATGTACAAGTTCATTCGGCTCCTTCCTACCGTTGGCTGTGAAGCTGATGCTGCAACTAGGTATAGCATCGACGAGAGGAATATTTCTGATGCCAATGTTGCTGCCTTTGCGTATCAATCAACCGGATGTTATGTGGCTGCCTGGTCCAATAATCATGATGGAAATTATAATACAGCTCCTTATTTGTCATGGGAATTGGAGCATTGTTTGATTGATCCCGGGGACAAGGAGTCGAGGGTGCGGATTGTTCAGGTTAGAGGTCATGACATGTTTATTGATTGATTAGATAGTCACTCAAGTAATAGTTATACTCTCAGAAAAGTTGCTTTCTTTCTTGAAGAGAAAATTGGTATTAAAACGAGATTTGACTTTATGTAAGAACTATTAGTCGAGTGTCCATATGAGAAATCAATCCTTCATTGTTTTTACCTGCCCAAATTTAAGTCAATCCGCCCATTTGTCACCTCTAATTCAGGTTGTGCGCCTTCAAGATTCTAAGTTGGTATTGCAAAACATTAAGGTGTTTTGTGAGCATTGGTATGGGCCGTTTCGAAACGGGGATCAGCTTGGTGGGTGTGCTATTCAAGATTCTGCATTTGCTTCTACCAAAGCCTTGGACCCTGCAGAAGTCATTGGTGTTTGGGAGGGTAAGCATGCCATCTCCAGTTACAACAATGCTCCAGAAGTAAGCACTAAATGACCCTATCCATTGAACTGTGCGACATCTCACTAAAAGTAAACACATACAATACTATTTGTTATTGGGTGGTAGTGATATTTGAACACATGACATCTTGCCTGGCTCTAATAGCATGTTAAATTGTGTGAGCATTTCATCTAAAAACTTATTTAGCTAGAGTATACACTTCTAATTACTTAATTATATTATGTCTCTCCACTATCATCCTGCTATTATCAAGTTGAAGAAGGTTTTCTACTTGTGACTTGGAATGCTGACTAACATTACATAACACATAGTCCAGAGCACTGAATATCCCATGTGATTATTGTAATTGTAGGTTTTTCCTTGCTCACCTTGTTTTTAGTGCAGCTTCAACAACTTCATTTGGAGCAGAATTAATAGATTTTGATATTTTAGTGCCTTGACTGCAAGTTAGAAGTGTTTTCAGAATTGTACTTTTTTAGAATTTCACCATACGTTCAGCCTTTTGCTTTGACTTCCTAGCCCCAGAGGTTGACAATCATAATCTCATACGTTGATTGCATCCAATGATCACCTGGTATGGGTAGAACTTCGAAATTTGAACGTAGAAACCAGACGCTTCACCTTATTTCTAGGAAGTTAAATCAACAAAGTGCTAAAGGTTCTTTTAGTTCCTTAATATTTCAGTGAAATTTCCATTTTAATCATGTTAGATGTCCTTTTCTTGCTCAGGCAATAAAAACCTTCACACCATAATCAACAAGGATTTAAACTGTTGACTTGATGGCAGAGTAGTTGAAAACTAAATTAGATTGACAAAGAGAATAGTGCACCAAACACCATCTTATTGACTTGACTTTTCAGCTTATATGTTTTCAACATTGTAGTTTCTTTATTGCTAGCAATGTCTGTGGTTAAATCAGAGATAAAGAATTTTTAGCATGTCAGCATCAGAAGGAATAAGTAATGGAGAGTTCTGAATTACACTTCCAGAAAGTTATTCAAGAGCTTGTCGATGGCAGCACCAGGAAGACAGTACGAGATGAATTAGATCTTGTTGTGCTTCCAAGGCAACTATGGTGTTGTTTGAAAGGCATTGCAGGTGGTGAAACTTGCTGTGAAGTTGGGTGGCTGTTCGATCAAGGACGTGCCATTACATCCAAATGCATATTTTCTGATAATGGCAAGTTAAAGGCAAGTAGTTCTCTTTTTGTTTCTCCTAAAAAGGAAACTTTTTTGTTACTTATTTATTCTCAGTCTGTTTTTAAGCTGTTGCTGCTTTCATATCATCGATATACCTTCTTAAACTTTGTATCTAAGTCAAAATCAAACAATCAAATTGAAACGAAGAAGGTATCAACAACCCAATTTTTAAATGGATCACAATTTCATAGCACCTGCTTATTGTGACACTCTGTCTGATATTCTTCAGGAAATTGCTATAGCATGTGAAAGTGCAGCACCAGCACAATAGGTCACAATTACCTACAACATATGGCCAGTGCAGTAGGAAGACAACTGTTCAATTTCCCTTATCCAGAATTAAATTAATGGACAGGAAGTATATAATTGTATATTCAACATTGGTTTATTTTCAAGTGGCAACAATTATGTTTAATAATGGTCTGAGATAAATGATATTAGTTGATATAAGCTTTTTAGTTGAGTGAGAAACGATTAGTGAGAATTCATATAACCGATCTCAACTTGATAGGAATTGAGTATGGTTGTTGTAATAGCTAATAACCCTTCTCTGCTAATGACTTCTCTTAGTTCCTTGTACCAAATGATTGACATGCCTCCAGCAAAATCTTTTTAAAAAAACTTCCATGAAAGTACAACATAACAGTATTACTATAAACAAGCATAAAAATAAATAGCATAAATTATCATGAGTAGAAAAGTGAAGCATCATTCATGGAATAAAACATCATATGATAAAACAACATAATTTAACAATTTGAAACGAGGAAGCCTTTCTCTAAAGAACAAGACTAATTTGAACACATTAGTGGGAATATTTTCAACACTAAAAACTAAATATAAAGCTCACAACAAATCGTGGAAGCATAGAGCTGTCCGATAGGGTCTTTCACTCATCCTCTTCTAGCAAACTCGAAGGTACTGGATGTTACTGGATGAAAGTCTATTGCCCTGGCCTCTTTTCTGTACAACCTGCAAACTAGCCAGTGCCTAAATTAGAAACTTCTTTAGTAGAATACATGATCAACGCCGCCAGTCTTCTTCAGTAGAACACAAAACAGTATTAATGTAATTTTCTTTTAGGAGAGCTAAGAAAGTTAGGATTATGTAATTTTCACAAAGGAGGAGGAGACGATTGTTCATTGCTTCTTGTAAAGAGAAATTAGCAAATGGTCTCTGGGTCTCAACAACTCAATTAGGACTCGAACAGATGCATGAAACTTTGCTCTCATTGAAACTTGTAAACTTATCAAGCTCGTTAATCTTTCAATCTTTTTTTGGAAGCTGACTAAGAAAATATATCTCAAAGCACCGATTTTCTGCATCCACTTAAAACCAAAGCATGAATTTCTACTGAACTCATAAATCCTCTTCCCCTCTTAGCTCGGCATAACCCCACGCTCCCCCTCTGTTCGGACTCAAAACCAAAAAAGTATGATAGCTTCTGCTCCTATGCATCATTAGCCCTTTTCTTTTCAACTACATGATCCTACTATTTTCCTAACCAAAAAGTATGATAGCTTCTGCTCCTCTGTCATAGCCCTTTTCTTTCCAACTATTTTACTTTTTGTTCCAATGTAGCCATCAAAGGACATTCACAGTAACATTAAAATCAATCTATAACATGCTACTAATACATACCATCATACATTTTGATAGCATATTCACGAGCAGATCTTCAAGATCAAACATAGTCTGTTCACCAAACCACAAAGTTTTGTGATGCCTCCCCCAATATAAACTCTGTACCACCTGGGTGTCCCAAATTCTCATTCATACCTCACGAATGCTCCACCAAGCATGTTAAGTTGCAAATCTGGATGATGCAAGATAACATTTCAAATAATCATCCACTGTGAGAAAACCCAATAGATTTTTCTTTTCTGATAAGAGTGTGAATATAGAAGATCGATAGAGAGAATCCGTATAGCCTACGCCAACTAGTTTAACATTGAACTAAAGTAAATTTCTCACTCATCCTTCACTCTCTTGAAATAAGATTACTGTTCTTTTCCACATCAACTAAAGCCACCTACAAGACTGAGAGTCCCAAAATGCAGTTAAGCTCCTGATATATCACAAACATATTTTGGGGTAATCTTTGCCTAAGAAGAAAAAAGTAGCCAATATCAGCCTAAAGTCCCGTCCTCACTGTATCTTCAATTCATGCATTTTCATATTGCATGATTCTTGAACTGAACCACATCATTTTGTTCTCTGCCCTCAGAAAGAACATCATGAGCAAGATAAAGCCCGACTCCCCTTGAGCTGATTTTCCACCCATTTCTCAAACCCCTTCCTCTCCCCGTCCAATTATGAGATCCACATTGTTATCTTTTCAAGTCAACTAAACAAAACCATAGGTCCAACAATACTGATCAACATCATGGTCACATCAATCGACATCCAAAATTGGGATACTGAATACATTATAATCTTGTAATGAAACACACACTAGATTATCACATACACCTCACTGAACTTCAAAGGTTCAATCAAATTTTCTTAGCAACTTCCACCACAATATAGTGAATAACGTACAAGTTAATTGGCAAACGTTGGCCCTAGTAACTCCTATATCAGACCTTGATGTTGCGACTCAAGCATTACTCAAAGGAGGTGCAAGGCTGACATAAATAACAAAAGAGACACAATATGCACCACTGCCAATTGAAAAAACAAGGTCAAACCATTAATGCGGTTGTCAAGGAACTGTACGATCAAATGCCACTAAACAGAATTTCTCAATATGAGAGCCAATGCAAACAGTTTAAAACCAGCCCCTCTTGTACATCGCCAATCAATTGTCAATAAGAAACTCTCGCTAATGATTCTTCTTCCAGGTCTCAACCCCAAAAATCAGCCCAATCATTTAACAATTTTATGTAGGACAATACAAGTGACTAAGTGAATAACCATAGAGCTGAATAGGAAAAAAATCTTAAGAGACTCAAAGTTCAAAAGTTAAAGAACTCTAAATGTAGAATGGATACAGGCCTTCCAATTCAATTTTAAGTAGAAAAGAACATTTTAAGATTTTTCATAAGTTCACTAAACACAATGCAAGCAGTAAGACTGATGCATTTCCACAAAAAAGGATTACTTTGAAAGAAAAAAAGGGGGAGGAATGTACCTAGTAGAGATGTCTGTCTGAGAAGCTACTACTGAGCTCCTGATGCATCTCTCATGCTCAAATTCAGACTATTTCGCATTGTTCGTCTCCCTATACACGGATTTCCTTTTTGCATCATAGCAACAAATTCTCCATAATCAATTCGTCCATCCTGGAAAGAAGTGCACCAGGAAACAAATTAGTATATATGACAAGCAACAAATATAAAAAACAAAACGAACCATTACATGCATATAATCACAGAGATATTCCAGAGGTAATATTGCCTACATGGTGGGAAGATTCAGGCACAAACTCTAATGAATTATATTATAGGGTTTTGCCTGCGTGGAGGCATAAAATCTACTTAAACTGATGACGATGTGAGTTTGTGCCAAACATTTGGGAAGCAAAAAGAAATTTTGATGGAGATAAGGTGTTTGGGCAAAATGGAATGTGCTTTTAACCAACAGCAAAATCAGTTCTCCTGAAGAAGCTACATATCCTTATCAATAATTATTTACGAAAATATCCCGTATTGATTTTTAAAAGGAAATCAACTATTAAACTGTTGTCCCCTTCTCCTTCTTCACCGTGGATTTTCGCCATCATCTTCCCAACTCTTTCTTTATGCAAATCTCACACAAAATGAATTCAATTAAACAAATTGAAAAACTTAATCAAAGTCTCAAATAATAATAAAGTACCGATACTTAAAAAAGCACTTTTTGAAAGGATTGACCATACTCAAAACAACTTTTCTAATCTTTAACAGCACTTCTCAAATGATTTGGCCAAACACTAACTACTTCCTCCGTTTCAAAAAGGATGGCCTAGTTTGACTTGGAATGGAATTTAAGAAAAGAAAGAAGACTTTTTAATCCTGTGGTTCTAAATTAAAGTTTTGTCAAATGTACCAAAATCCCCTTTAACCATATGGTCTTAAACATGTCACGTGAAAAATTAAAGTTAAAGTGTTGCCAAAAAAGGAAAGGGATCATTCTTTTTGAAACAGACTAAAAAAGAAATAAGGTCATTCTTTTTTAAACGGAGGGAGTACTACAGTTCCAATATACTTCTCAAAAAAACACTTATTGACTACTCAAAATAAGCAGATTTTAGAAAAGTTTGATCAAGCAGGCTCATACTCAAGAGATATTCAACGTGATTTGAAATACTTAGAGATGTCTCTAAGTTTTGTACTACATAATTTAGTACTTCATCTTCTTATTATTCCTTTTTAAACACTTGAATCTATGAGCATAATTTACATTTTCCATTCACTTTAATGAATCCTATAATCCATGCACAATTATAATTCCACAGGCGTGGCTAAAAAATGAGAGGCTAAGAGACTTAGCTTAGGCAATCTGACCAAACAAACTATAACATAATCTTCAAAGATACTTTTGAAAAGAATCTGAGTGCGTCCAAAACTCCAAACATGATGAATAAAACAGAGATGTCTGGTAAACTAGTAAAGTACTTCAGTTTCATATTTAGTACCTAAAAGACAAATTTATGTTCTAAAACAGTGGACTTACATTATCCTGATCGACTTCTCTTATAATATCCTCAAAGTAAACATCTGTCATGTTATGCTCTATACAAGCTTGCTGGACCTCATCAACTGTTATGTAACCACTTCCATCCTTGTCAAAATATTGAAATGCTGCCATGAGATGTTCCTCGCGCTCCAATTTATTAAGATGAACAGTTGCCGCAATGAATTCTCCATAGTCAATAGTTCCACTATTGTCCACATCAGCCTGAAATTGTGAGTTAGCTACATCAATCACCTTAGATAATTTAAAGGAGCTTTGCATGAACCTCATAGAAACACATGTTTGTAGTTGAGGGACACTAGAAAGATCAACAGAGAAATCATGTGGATTGAAATAAGAGATAAATGATTCCAAGTCAGAGTTTAGCTAGAACAATTTCCTCAAACTTTCAAGGACTTGTGACACACAAAAAAAAAGCTGAGTAACTTGAAAAATGAACTTCAGAAGCTACAGAAGTTCTTGATAATTTAACGCAGGAGAGTGCCGAAATTCCAATTCAACTCTCCACTTTCCAAACAGATAGAATTCACCATCATTAACTTGTGCAATTCTACAGAGATGAAGATTCTGAACTTCCATAGTAGACAGTCTCGTCATTAGTAATTTGAGGAAGATGTTGGAAACATGTTTTAATCACTTTGCAATAAAGATTTCCTTACCGCATCCATAAGTTCCCGTATCTCCGTATCCTTTAAGGTAGAGCCATATTTTCTCAACCCTGCTTTTAGTTCATCAAATGTAATTGCACCACTATTGTCAGTATCCATGGCCTTAAACATCTCTCTCAGACCAGCAATCTCTTCTTCAGACAAGCTTTCAGCAATCACCTGGAAGAACCCAGAGGAAACACAATAAAGTTCGTC